TTCCAAAATCAGAGGCAGGAAATATTAAAACTGTTCTAAATTTTGCGAAGCTGATTCCCACATTCAGTGTTCCTATCATATGTAGAATACCTTAAACTCTCCTTAATCAGGATCCCATTAATGTATTATCTGTTTATTTATATTAAAAGGCTATCTTGGAAATACAGCATTTTCTGTCATTTTAACAGGGCTCAGTACAATTGGATTCTGAAAACAGAAAATAAACGAGAAAACATGACAGTAGAGTTAGCCTTGAAACAAGCCAGAAACCCCATATGCTTATTTGCACAATGGACAGCATAAAATGAACTTCAACCTAGCAATCGTATTTCCACAATACCCTCTATCATCTCCATTAGTGACCATTTTTTTCCTAGAAACAACATAAAATTGGTGACTCCCATACTATAGAAACTTTCATATATCATATGTACAATTCCCTCAATAGGTATTTATACATATGGTTGTGTGTGTTCTGTGTATGTTGTATCATAAATGCACACAAGATATATGGGTTCTATTTATAAGTCACAATGGGGATTCCTTTGGGATGAAGATAAAAAGAAAGACATTCTCAGACAAGACACTGTGGGTTCTTGAACTGATGTGTTTCCATTTGAACATCCAACCTGCAGAGCAAACTGGAATGTATTTCACGATTTTAAGCTGCAAAACGTCTGATTTTTTTTTACACTGTAACTAAAACAACTTATCATTAGAGTTACAGAGATTATTACAGAAAAAATCAGAGTGCCAAAGGGACAAGAAGAAGAATGTTTGGCAATACAAGATAACACTTTCACTTCATGTTTTATATTTTTATTTCTATATTTATACCTGTAAGATAGCACAGAATAATTGTACACCTTGTCACAGCAAACATCCAGTGTAAAAAGATGTTTCATTGGAGGGGCGGGGGATGTAGTTTTTTTAATGCATATAATTTTATAGCTAAAACACCTTTGTAGCATAATTCATTACAGTCAATAACTTTTAGTATAAATAATTTATGAGGTGATGTTAAAACATAAATTAATATACCTTTTATTTAACAAAAAAAAAAAAAACCAAAACCTGCACTAGATATTCTGAATCCCCTTGTCATGACAAAGAGGAAAAGCTTAAGCTGAGCACAGCAGAGGAAAAGATTGTGTATGTTGGACTTCAGCACCATTTCTAGAGAATGATGCACATGCGCACACGCGCACACATACACGCTAACACACAGAGAAACACACACCTCTCTTTATGAGCTGCAAAAATAAACATGGCTTTTTCCTTCTAGTGCTCATACTTGGATGATATTCTGTATTTCTGCAAAATTTACTTGCTTAAAAATACTTTACCTTCTCTTATTTCTGTATGGAGTCCCTGAGACATGCCCCAAACTGGTTAGTAATCAGCATCACCATTCACAGAAATTGGTCCACAATCAACTCCATTCTCTCAAGAGAAACAGATATTTCAGTAGACAACCTAATTGTCCACTTCTTCAAGCTAGATCCATTCCCTGGTTTCTTTCTTTTTGCAAGTCAAGGGTTGTTTCAAGATAACTCAGCCCAGTCTATAGCACAAAGCAGTTGTGCACTTTTCTGGCAAGACAGATTTGGGAATATTACCATCCTATACATTTAATAATGGACACCGGTCCTAGAAGGTAAAGACACACATTAGTTGTTCAAGTTCAACATACAAATCCAGTTCATATGTTTAGAGTGTGAAAAGGTGTATATACGTATCAGCTTGCACATTTAATGAGTTACGAGTATAACAGAATTATTTTTTTCATTCTTTTTTTTTTTTTAAGCCCTGAGTGTTTTTCTCTCTCACACACACACACATTTCAGGTCAAACTGGATACTACATATGGGGTCCATAAATCTCAGATTCCCTACAGTGGGGGGAAAAATATCTTTCCACCTGCTGCCCTCCAGTGGCAATTCTGAGGAGGCTACAATACTTTCTTTTGCTTTTCTAGAAATCCTATCACTTGGAGACAACTTGAAAGCTAAGTGGCACACAACCAGAACAGCAGCGGGAAGAAAGAAGGGAAGAAAGGCACCATTTATACAGATCAATTTGCCACAGAAATAAATTAAGATGTTTTTCAGTCACAAGCCTTGTTTTAGCTTTTTCCAACATCGATGTACAAAAACTGTATGATTTGTTTATCAGATAAGAACTGATTGTTAAGGAGAAAGACATTTTAGAATTTTCTCATGAGCATCATAATTCAGAGAAAGCATTACTTTCAAGCTATTTTCTTAACATGCCAAAAAAAAAAAAAAAAAGCAAAATTGGTCCCTTCTCTTCAAGGGCCATTTCTACTTGTCAGGGAAATGCCATTTAAAGAATATTACTCTGTCATATTATCTGCCTTGACCACACATGAAATATATTCTGATTATGACACATATCATATAACTAGATGCTAGTTCAGGCCCCTTAACAGAAAAACAAAAGGAATTCACGAAAACATGAAATGTACAAAATAAAACAAAACCTGTGAATGAAACTTCCCAAGAAGTTTCAATTGGGAACTGCAGTCTACAGTGCAACATGAAAAAATTATATTTGGTTGAAATACATTTGAAGACTTTGACTGTCCTGAACTGTAGGGTTTTTTTGACTGAAGGGAAAGGAGTTTCAAAAGGCAATAAACAAGAGCAAGGATTAAGAATAACAAACAGTGATAAGGAGAAACAAGAGCTGTTGCTGAATCCATTGTTATCAACAATGATAATTTCTTCAGGAATCAGAAACCCTAGTTTGAATTTCTGTTTTTAATTTACACTAAGACAGCCTTGCTTATAACCTGCCCAAATATTCAGACTTCTCCCCTTATTGGGTTTAATCTTCCCATTAGACCATGGCTGATCATGGGTGGGGTGAGGTGGAGTGGGGTGGGGGAGATAAGCCTCCTCCCTTGTTCCCACCTCCCACTTGCAGGTTCCCAAGACACTTTGGGAAACTTCCTTTTCCCCTTTGGGTCTATTGTACTTTTATTTATTTATTTTAACTCTGGTTAATAGAAGCAGGTTCACCATCAACAAATAACCTTTGTTGCGGAAGAAGTTGTAGATATTCAAAAATGGAAACAAAACGGACTGGATTCATCCTTGCCCATAAACTAGAAAATAATAGAAACACAAACCTTGTGTGTGTGAGGAAAGGTGGGATTATTCATTTCTAACATAATAGGTAATACAATTGACCCAGCACAGCCCCTCGGTTATATTCAGAACAGTGACATCAGGGTCCCAGAACAGTGTTAGCTTTGTTTATTAAAGGCAGTGAGGATGGTAAGGAAAGACTTCAATGGGCCAATTTCCACTGACCACATTATGGCCTTGGATGCTGCTCTCCCTTGACTTTGAAAAGCAGCTTTTCAGAAGATGATGTGGGAGGAAATGATGTGCTGGATACCCCCTTCATTGGATCCTGGCAATCTTGCTACATTTTCAGATATGGGGAAGAAGGCAACCAACCGGCATTGATCAGCATTTTATCATACCCCCAAATAAGAGGAAATAATTTCAGTTCTTCAGATTTTGTGAAAAGTAGGTAAGAAGGGGAATTAAACTTTGTTCACAAAAAGACAAGGCTTGGAGGGGAGAGATTGCATTCTGACAACTGTGCCTTATGTCCCAATGCACTATGCACTAACATAAGGAAGAGGTAAGGGGGTTTACTTCAGCTCCTTCATAGGACTTAAAAGATTTACATTACAAATATATTTTTATCACACTTAGATGTTTATTATACAAGTCAATTTCAATGCAGGGAAAGAGGGAAGAGTTCACAAAGTTCAAAGCACAAATGTGTTTTCAGCTACGTACTTTTTTTTTCAAGGGCAAACTCCTAACTCCCTGATCTTTTCAGAATAATAAGCAGCACAGCTTTTTTTGTTGTTGAAGAAGGCAATAATTCTAATTATCAACAGGCAATTCCTGGAAAACTCTTTCCTCAAAAAGTTTGAGAGCAAAAGGACCTGTGTCAGATTTTGCACATGAGCACCAGTGACAGTGGATTCCAAATCTGTTGTAGGAAATAGCTGATTCACTCTCAAAGAAAAATCAGAGCTTCTGTTCCTAATCTAAAACCAACATACTAAAGTGTGCTTTCTTTTCAATTTTTTAAAAATATATTATAAAATTAGATGCAATTATGTACAGTTTAAACCTTCGGCCAGAACATATAACAAAAGCTGTTCTTAAGAATGGCATGCCATGTTTCCATGTCCCCCCAATGAAGGTGGGAGGAAACTCCAGATAGAAAGGATTAATTTCCACTGAAAAGAATCTGACTTCATGACAAGTAAAATGCATAATCTAATTTCATGTTTTGAAGAACCAAAATCACAAATAAAAAGTGTTGATGGGGGTGGGGTAGAAGTAGGTATAATGATGAATGTGATTGATAAATAACATTTTATGGAGAAGGCAGCTTTACGCTGATAAACTTCTAACAGTTGGATAGTTGCATGTCTTCAGCATTAAGAGCATGAAACACACAAACAGAATACCTGACCTTAAAAACAATCCAACATTAGTGGAAAGCAATGATAAAAAGCAAAAGAATGCCTTGTGTAATTTTTTTTAAAAAAACTTTAGCAGTGTAGAATGTTGGTTCTTTCCCATGCCTGATTTCCCAAAATATACCTACTTGTTTCTAAAATATTATGAAGTACATTAAAGGTTCTCTACTGCTGTAGAAAAATTTTAAGGGGACTTAAATATCTGTAGCTGGCAATTATTATGCAAAATAATTCCACCATTTCTAATTTATATAGATTTGATGGAAACAAAACAAAACAGAACAAAACAGATCCTGAATATTTGAGTTGGATTATGAAAAGATTGGGGGAAATTATGATGATGTAATACTAGAAAAGTACAATTTTCCTTCTATTTAATAGACTCGAATGAATGAATGAATGAATAAATATATATATATATATATATATATATATATATATATATATATTCAATCTTATTAGGAACAGTCACTAGTTTGAGGAGCTTCTTCAAGACAAGAAAGAAAAGAATTGCCATTTATCCATCTATATACTTACACACACAAACACACCTCTAAACTCACAGAAGAGGTCAAGAGCCCACTTGTTAAGATGACAGAATTAACAACTGGATTATGGTCTTGGCTTAATTCTATAGTGCCCAGTTATCAAATTAAAAAGGCTGACTTTCAATCCACCCACACTTTCAAAAATAAAGCAACTTCCTTCTCTTCCCTAGATGCCAATGGGACTGAAAGTCCAATCTGAACCTTAGGAACTTGCATTTGTTTTATTTGAGGTATCATCTCATTTCTGATTCTAAGGTCAATTACATACATCTTCATCTTTCTTTGACTAAAATCAATTGCATCCAGTATCTGTGCTGTATTCCCTAACTGAGTATTAACTGGATAAGTACAGCAACCTGCCAGAAATAAATGAGCACCAATACATAAACAGCACATAGGATAATTAGAACAGAGCTTAACAGGAAAACCCTGGTCTGTACTGAATCAGGACATTTTGTTTTAAATTTAAAAAAAAGTCTTTAAAAAGAAGGGGGTGACAAAAACCAGGAAGAGAAAAGGTGGTGGTGGATGCAATGATGGTTACATAAAGTACCCAAGCTGCCTGTCATTCACAGGCAGACAAACTCAGCTGGAGGTGGTGAAGGGAGCTGATGCATTATTGGTACTTGTAGCTGTGGCACCTGTTACAGCAAAGCCAGTTGGAGGAGCTATGGAACTGTGGCTGGGTTGCAGGTCCTTGGGAATGCCACTGTGGGAGCTTAGTTGGTGGCCAAAGGCTGCACTGAACTGTGGGAGCTGCTGCTTAGGAGAAGTGGAGGCCATGAGCTCAGAAGATGCAGCACCCATGCCACTGAAACTGGTCTGTGGTAACCCCGGAAGCACGCTGGAGCTGTTGGGGGTCACGGTGGCGAAGGCAGGCTGGGTGGTCTCTGAGTGCGATGTAGTAGGCGGTGTAGACAGGGAAGTGGAAAGGAGGTGTCCATCTGCACCAAGCAGGTTACTAAATGGAGAAGGGTCACCAAGGTTTACAGGGAGACTCCCCCAGTGAGTTCTGGGATTCACCACCCCACTAAGTGGCACCTCCAGTTGCGATGGGAGCAGATGCTGTGCTATGATGGGCATCTCAGTAGAGAAAGTAGCTGCCAAATTATCGCTAGAATAAGAGGTGGAACTGGGGGACCTTATATGGTCACTGTAAGGTGATGGCACATGCTCACTGTCATAATGGCTTCCATGGGGTGAGGAGTGTGAATGGTCACTGCTGTATTGCTGTCGTGAGGTGATTAGGTCATCTGCCTTGCTTAGCAGCTGGGCAGGGTGTGGCCTCTGGGAGGCATGGCTGCCATCGTGAAGTCCTTGAAACTGTCCCGGGAAGGCTCTCTCCCCAAGCGCACTCTGGCTTATCAGAGTAGCCGAAGTAAGGCCAACGTTGGCTGGGGCAGAGAATTGCCCCTGAATCTGCCCTGCCAGGGGCGTAGATGGGTTGGATAAGGTAGCAGAACGGAGCAAGTTCTCATCAAGATCCAGGCTAGAGAAATTGTCATCATGTACTATGCGCCCATTCAGCAGCTCACCTAGATCTGCATTGACTTCTCGGCTCAAAGATTGAATTCCTGAAGTTTCAGCACCTGGGGAAAACACCCCTATTCCTCTGTCCGATAGTTCCTGAACTGGTACACCGTCTGTTTGAGTGAGCACACCAATAGTACTCAGGCACTCAAGAGAAGTTACGGCCTGCAAGGCCCGTTCCAGTTCCTCTGCTTCTTCAGTGGTAGGGAGGAGGTCTCCATTTTTACCTTCATCAAAACAAAACAAAACAAAACAAAACAAATACAAAATTAGCCTCTCTCTTACATATACCTTGAAACAAGCTGTTAAGATATTTAATGTAGCAGAGATGTCAACCAATTATAGCAGGCAACTCCAAAATCTGTGGTTTGCAAAAGAAGAACCTCCATGATTTACCGAATGAAAATATTCTTTTTGTGTAAATAGGAAGCCAATCCAGATCACAGCGTTGGTAGACAATTTTTTTCCCCAATTCTCCAGTGTATAGCTGAGAGAGAGTGACTGTCCCAAAGCCACCCAGATGATTTCCATGCCTAGGGGAAGACTAGAACCTGGGTCTTCCAGAGCCTTAACCAGAATATCATACTGTCTTTCACTGTTAACAATAAGGATAGTTAATTTTCAGGATGCAGTATACACAAAACAGTTTTGCCAGATCTACTTAGACTAACATTTTGACATATAAAAGGATAAAAGAGAAAAAACACTTGATTCTCAGTTATTTCAAAAACCATGCAATATCTATACTAATCTCTGATTTACTTATACTATTTATTATCTTTCACTTTTTTCAATAATTATGCATGCAGCTAATATTAAATAAAAATGTATGAAGTCCTTGAATAAAAATTAAGTAAGACAGCAGAACAAAATATATGTAACATTACATTCAATGACATTTTAAAAGAAAATCCAGATTCCAATGTGACACTAAAGTAATAGTTAAGTGAAAATTGTGATGTTGGTGCAAACCTCCTTGGGGAAGTAAGCCATGATTGAAAAAGCCTTTTCACCTACTGGTGCTTGTCACCTTTCTGAAATGGGGGAGATAAAAAGAAGAACTTGGAGAAAGTTCTTATTACCATGGAAAGTACACAGGAGGGGGAAATGTGCTTCAAGGAAGACAGTTTTCTGTAATAGCAAACTTGTAAGATTCACAGAGGACGGTTGCAATTAATTTTTATTCAAAGCTGCATTTTGTTTGTAAGCCTTTTTTAAAATTTAGCCTTCTTTACATTCATAAACTTCAACATTCTTTTGTAAATAACAAAATCAGGAACTGAATCTCAAACCTGGAAACAAATGTAAAAATAAAAAGCCGCATAACATTAATATTGTCAAAATCCCTTTACATATAGTACCTTATTAAAATTCTACATTTTTAAATGGGAAGAAAATATAATATGGTTTTGTGAGGCAGAAAAGACCAGTGTAGTAAAATCGCATCACTTCAAAGCTGATTTCTTTCAGGTAGGGAACAAAACATGTATCTGACATGCAACTTTAGAACAAACCTTGAACCATTTACTTATTCCAATCCCATCTTTCAGCAGTTTCTCCAATATATTTGATTTTGAAATCATGCAACTAGTTCCAAAATGTCAGGTCACCCTTTTATCTTACAATTCAGCTTTGGGTGGCACCTACTGTTAACACTGAAAGTTATGTAAAAACAAAAGAAGATACCTTCAAAGAAATCAAAATCTTGCAAGTCATCAGGCAGTCGTGGTAGGACGTCAGAGAAGTCCTCCTGATTCAATTCCAGGTCATGTGGAATGTCTGTGATTTCATTGGCAATATCATCTGGCAGCTCATCTGTACTCAGCTCAGGTGTGGAGGGACTCCTAAGATACAGGGGAGGTAGTCAAATGGTTTGGTGGAGAACCAGATCCAGTGCTGATCACCCTGCTATGGTGAAACAGTCTATTTCTCTTTTCAAATGTTTTAAACAGTTCCCCCAATACAGTTTAAATCCATGAAGAAAAAAAAGGAACTTATATGGCTACACCAGAATCCTACCATTAGAAATTGCTTTTGACAGGTGAGAAGCCATATCTCTCTTCTTTTTCCCAATAGCGTGCACACTGGGCTGACATCAGAACTGAAAGCCTGCTAAACTAAAGATTGACACAAAAAAGACCACTGCCTACATTTGTGTCAGAGATTGTAACACTGTCAGCCATTTATATCATTAGACAAGAGGAATTTAAATATAGCCTTAAGAAGCAGCTAGAAATATAGTATGTCTTTAAAAAACAGGGACATGGGACACACCTAACACTCATACCATTTGCAGCATGGGTCCAATTAGCTTTCTTTGATAGACATGGGACCTCTAGTGATCATGTACTGGGATTCTAACTCAGCACATTGTCAGGAGAAGAGAAATTAATACCACTTTTTAAATATCAGCTCCATTCCTGAGATGTAATGCAGTTTGAAGTGCTAGTAGGCAGTATTATTTTAACTTCTCCAAGTTAAATGAGAAGGAGAAATCCATAGGAACTGATGAAAAAATAATTATCGTTGAATTTAAGACTATAAGATAAATAGTAGTTTCTATCCAGAAGAAATGTAGAGTATCAAAAATCTCTACAACGATTGCTTTCAGGACTAGTACATGTCAGTGAACATACTTATTGATTTTGTAACATTTAGGAGTTTGTTATATTATATAGGTTGCTATATTACATCTCAATAAACTGAAGCACTATCAATGTTATTAAGAACCCATAATCAATAACCACATAAACATATGAATGTGTCTTGCTCATATATAATAGCTGCATAACTACAGTTCTGCCTTTTCTAGTACAGAGGATCCTCATTTAACAACTGCAATACGAACCAGCAACTCCAGGACTAAGGGGCACGATCATTAAGTACAATGTCACATGTCTGTGCCAACTTAAGACATCAGTTCTATCTGCAGTTGTTAAGCAAACCACCGTGAGTCATTAAGTGTGATGTCATATGACTCTAAGTTGCAACTTCCTATCAGCTTCCTTATTGACATAGCTTATCAGAAGCCAACTGCGAAGATTGCAAATGGAAACTGTTGTAAATGCGAGCCAGCTGCCAAGTGCCCGAATTGCAATCATGAGACTACAGGCAGGATGCAATGGATGCAGTTTCAAGAACCACTCATAAATCCCATTTTTCAGTACTGTCAAACGATCACTAAACAAGTGGTCAGTAAGTGAGGCCTATCTGTATTCTTAAACAAATAATGTAATAGGTACAGTAAATAAATGTTCTGTATATTTTTTCAGAGCTGGGCACTGACCGTATATGAGCTATCTCCATTGGCAGTGAGATGCTGGTGGGCATAATAAGGTTTCCTTGGGGTACAGCAGGAGGAATTGGCTTTTGGGGGCGCCGTGGCCCTCGTCTTCTCTTTTTCTTGTGTTTTTTGGTAAGCGCCGGGGGCTTTGTTTTTTTCCTGGGTTTCTTCTGCTGCTGGTGTTGAACTTTACGACAGCTGTCTCCTCTCAAGAAGTTATCCTTTCAGAGTGGGAAAGAAGACATTAACAAATATTTTTCTTTTTTCTTTTCCTTGAGATTCCAAGACTATAATTACATCACAAAATTCAGACAGACTATCTGACAATGTGAAAAACAGCCATGAACCTCATTTTCACCAATAGCAAGGGCAAGAGAACTAACAATACTTAGAGGCCAAAATATTTCCGAATGTAATCATAACAGCATAAATGTTAATTTAAAATAAGTTCTGCAGGTATTTGAAGGCTAGAAAAATAATGATTTTGAAAACATTAGAATGACTCAGAGAGGCTAAAGTTGCAAATAATCAAATTATTTTTCTGTCAAGTGGATTAGTCAGTTTAGCATATCACACTGTTATCGGAATGGTCCTGCTTATCAGAACAAATGGAAAATACCATAAATATGCTATGTAATAGGAGTATGCATAACATTTTTTATCTGAATGTTGATTTTTAATTCAAAATGTCCCATTCAAGTTAAAAACAGTTGTAGCAGGCAGTTTCAATCATTTGGGAAATGTTTCTGGCCCCAAACACAGTATTTCAAACTCATCACCATTTTTAATTCAAAGTTATCAAAACAGACTAGGAAATAACCATTTTGAACTCAGAACAATTTATACATCACTACTTCGTAACAGTTAATGAGAAATAACTTTAGGATAATATTCAGAATTTATCCCAAAGGTGCTTTTTCAAGAGGCAACTGGACTTTCTGTTTTTTTCCTTGAAGACGTTTCGCTTCTCATCCAAGAAACTTCTTCAGCTATGAAGAAGCTTCTTGGATGAGAAACGAAACATCTTCAAGGAAAAAACCAAAAAGTCCAGTTGCCTCTTGAAAAAGCACCTTTGGGACAACCATGACCTGGATGACTGAGAATCTGGGTAGACATTCAGAATTTATGTGTCTTTGTCTATATTAGTTTTGCAAACATTTAAGGGACTGTAATAAAGAAAGAAGTTTTGAAATTAGGAAAGCTGAGTAAGTGGAGCCTGCATCAAACTATGACAGGAAGCTTAAATACCTTCCCATAATCCTTTTGGTTAACTCAATAAGATAGTTGATATCCTATTATTTTAAATCATAATTGGCAAACCATTTTACAACCTTCCGAAAAGAACTGTAAAAGTGGAAAATTCTGCACTTAGAGCTTATTGGTTTGCTACAACTTTTGTTGCTCTGAATGTGTATGGGTTTTTTTTCTTTGTTTTTTTTTTTTTTTTGCTTGATTATCAAATGTACTTACCATTTTTTTGGCATGTTCTTCACATAAGGGGGTCTGATGTGTAATGTCAAAAACGGGCACAGAGCATTGCTGTCCATCAGCAAACTTAGCTGTACAACTTGAAAAAAGCTGCTGCGATCGATTCAAAAGGATATCTATATATACCAGTTTAAAGAATAATATGCAATACTGTTTAGATTTGGGTACAAGTTTATTGTCAAAGAGTTTTAAAACCCCACAACTTTAAATGTAATTTATTTCTGTATTTCAAAATTTGGAAGATTTGATAGCAGACTGCCTTCCAGCAGAACTGCCAATGATTTTCTATTGTCTTAAGATGGGTTTACTGAATTAGGTATTTTGCTAATGAGCCAGTGTTCATTTCCTAAAAATTCTTAATCAGAATTGTCAGAAGAAAACAGAATATAATCAGTAGATTATTTGCTAATGAACTAATGGAAAACTAGATAATATATTAAAAGGAAGATTTCTATCATCTTTAGAAGATATAACAACTGAAAAAATCCTGCCTTTCTGAAAGATGATACAGAGAGGAAATCAATAAATAGGATTCTGAATTTGAATTTAGATTGCTCATAAAAGGTATATAACTAGGAGTCTCTTTAGTCTTTCTCTAGCTATGTTTCCTTGCTCAATTTGTAGCAGATATATTGCTTCAAAATTATGTTTTCATGCAATACTGCTTCACTTCCATGGTCATAAAAATATGTTCAATATTTAACATGTCTTTCTCTACTTAATAAATACTAAAATCAGCAATGCTATGTCTGTACAGCAAGACAATGAGTAAGAATATGTAAGTAATGCCTAAGGATTGTTTATAACCATAAGCTTGGGGAGACAAGTTAGATGATAAAATCTATGATGTGTGAAAGAAAGGTTGATTTACTGATATAAATACCGTATTTTTCGGACTATAAGATGCACCGGTGTATAAGATGCACCAAGATTTCAAAGAATTAAGTAAGAAAAAAAAGGGGTTTGTTCTCCCCAGCCCCCAGAAGCACTCTGCAGGCCTCCCAAACCTTCTGTGTGCCCCATTTTTCGCAAAAACAGGCGAAAAATGGGGCATGCAGAGGGTTTGGGAGGCCTGCAGAGGGCTCCTGGGGGTGGGGAAGGGCAAAAACACCATTTTTGTGAAAAACGGGGTGCACAGAGGGTTTGGAATGCCTGCAGAGTGTTCCTGGGGGCTGGGGGAGGGCAAAAACGCCCCCATTTTTGGAAAAAATGGGCCCGTTTTTCACAAAAATGGGACGAGCGGGGCAGGGCTTCGGGAGGCCAAAAATGGCTGTATTCGGTGTATAAACCGCACCAATATTTCCACCCTCTTTTAGGGGGGGGAATTGCGCCTTATACTCCAAAAAATATGGTAATTGCACAAATAAATATAGTTCATGGGATTGATTACTTGTATAGACAATACTTTAGATAATGGCTGCCAGGTAAGTAAAGTAATTTAATGCATATAAGCATGAAGGATGGAATGAAAATCTCTGAATGATCTGCAGGGTATCTGGAAGGATTACTAACTTCTTTAATATCAACAGCAAGTGACTCTCTCCCATTCTACAATCTGTTGAAATGAAGAAGGCAAGACAAACAGAAGGTCCTAATGAGGAGCAGTGCCATAAGCTCCATTTATTACTGGTATTGAAAACAGATCTTGGGGCTCAGAACACATACTTAAAAGTATAAGTATACTAAGTATATTTTTTCCATACCATCTTCTATTGATCTTTAGGTTTCTAATGAAAACAAAATACAATCCGTAAGTCTGTAGATTGTGCTAACATGTATAATTGTTCAACTCTAATCTAGAAGTAGCTTACATGACCAGATTTTTAAAAAATTTCAGTATGATTATGTATAGTATGTTATTTTCTTTCAGATATTTTATTCCTATTTCATTTACAAGCTTATTTCTGTTGTCATTCCTGCCTACATTCCTGACTTTATAATTGTCAGTTTTTTCATGCCTAGAAAGAATATAAATTAAGGATAAACCTGTGTTTAAAAAAAAAAAGGAAGAAAATGCTGGAAGAGATTTAAGTGAATGTATAAAGTATGAAGATCAGGGTAAAAGGAAGACATTAAAATCCTGAGCTCATTTAATCTAATTTGGAATGTTTACTTTTTATTTCATTACTTCTGCAATTCATATATTCCTGGACTCACAGCTTTTGCTAGATGGATAGGTAGACCATGTCCAGGAGGCCTTTGCAGTTTTATCAGCTGTAAAGTTGAAACCTTACTTGGAGTGGGAGGACCTTGCAACAGTGACTCATGCCCTTATTGTCCCTTGGTTAGATTGCTGCAATTCATTTTATTTTGGTGGCTTTGAAGACCATTCAGAATGGTCTTCAGCATGAAGTAGCTCATTTGTTCGCTGGCATGAACCATGATGAACATATTGCACCTATTTTATAGACTTACATTGGTTGCCAATAGTTTTCCAAGCACTAGTTTAGATTAATAATGCTCTTTATAGCTTGGCACCTGGATGCTTACAGAACTATCTATCTAACTGTATTCAACCCAACTGATAAATTCCCCTCAGGAGATTTGCAATACCCCTTCTCCTGGGAGGAATTCCACATCACAATACCTACATTATGAAACAAGCTCTTTCTAGAAATTACCACAGAGTCCTTGCTGATAACTTTCCAGAAGCTTAAAAATGAAGCTTCTCTGAGTTATCTTTAAGAAAGAATTATTTGCTACTATATAGATGTCTGTTGTTATTATTACATATTATCTTTTAATATTTTATTATTCTTTGGATTTTTGCTACATTTTAGTATAGTTTAAATCACTGAGAGTCCTGAAAAATTTGATACGATACAGTAAATAAAATAATTAGCAGAATTTATCTACTCCTACAGCTAATGCATTCACCATTTTATCATTATTTTTTATCTATTAAAAAGACACTGAAATTTTAACCAATAACTAATCATGATTAAAATCATACAAAATTATGCTATACTCACTATTTCTAAGTATGGAGTTGCAGGCTTAATTTTCCAACTAGGCTTTCTTGCCTTATAAATCAATTATACTGGCCTACTTTTGGAAGTCAATCTGCTCTCTTAATGCAAAATGCAAAAGACGTACAACCAAATACAGGTGTCATGTGCTATTTACTGAAAACAAAAATATACCAAAATTCATCCCTTTCATCCCCCGCAAATAAACAGAGGAATAATGAAAAGGATACGTTGAAAACAATGTTTAGTGAATGGAAGAGCCTTGTTAGTGCATGGTTCACCCTTTGTGGTTCCACCGCATGGTGATGCATCCCTCTGCTTCACTTGGCTTGAGCTGAAATAGATGTACACACACACACATAGAGAAATAAATTTTTATTGACAGAGTCTTATCAAAAATCTTAAAATTTAATTATTGTTCATGTCTACTTTCACATTACAGAAGTATTTTATCCATCTTGCAAAGCATTGACAAACAGGAGGAGGTGTCAGTATTTATTTCTAGTTAGTAGATGTTACCATGTGTAATAGACAAGTACACTGCATAACACAGAGATTGCACTCTTTGTAATATTCAATGTATCTATTCTCTATATAATACATAATTAAAATAATTAATAGATACCTTTCTGTTCTTATTGAGTACAAATAAGCTTGTATACACAAAATACAAGTTCCCAAGAAGCTGTTTTTCTATTAAAACGCACACATAAAGCAAGCATTGAGTAAAATTTTCAATAGTTAGGGATCAGGGTTTCAATATTTTTATCTGTCTCTTTACAAATAAAATGAGACTAAATTATTTAAAATATCAAACAATTCTGTGTATAATGTGCAAAACAGTGCTAAATTGCACATATTATTTACATGATTTTGAACTAGATTTGTGACCATAAGGCTTTTGTCAGCCTAATATATCAGACTATACTCCTATTCCCAGATCTCTTAGGTGGATTTGATATCAATAGTGAGATTAATTCCACTACAGAAGGTGGAAGTGAAAAACTTCTGTTTGGCATTTGCAGTATTAAGGTCACAAGTGTCTGGTATATTTTAATAACTGTATGTAATTGTTGATTTTGAAATGAAAAAAAAAAAAAAAAACCCAGTACACTTGCAGTGAAAATCAACTTGTACCTTCTACATCTAACTTAATGGAAGTCTCTCAAAGTGGTGAGCTGGTACCTAATAATGATAATGGATAAACTAATGACCAATAAACTGAACACAATCTAGACAAGTTAGATACACTGTCAGTTGGCTTTTTACCAGATTAGGAAAATAGGGTTTAAACAATTTTGGACTGAAATTTTGGATTGAAATGCATTCTCCTTGAAAAACTAAGTAATGCATTCTGGGGATATTATTTGTTTGTTCAAAATTCATTCAATTTCAGAAGCCACCTGAGTCAATAATTCCAATTAGGTTTCTCTCTCTCTTTTCCTCTCTCCTTCTTGTTTATTGATGGGACCCCAAAGCATGTCCACTTTGCCTGATCTCACCAGATGAATAAAAAACGAGGACTCACAAGCAGCCAAGTCCTATGCTATGAAGAACTTTATAGATGATAACCAGTTCCTTGAATTGCACTCAGAAGTCAATAGAAAATTAGTGCAACTTGGATGCCCAAATATGAGCATACAACAACAGATAATCCTACAAAACCCTACCTCGGGCATCTCAACTGAACCTGTCCAATCAAACTCCAATTCTGAAATCCAGTACTGAGCTGGAACCCCAAATTGTAGCCTTAAGTGTCTTCTATTTCCTGATGTGAGTGAGTCATCTCTTTTGACCAGAAATATTTTGGTAACTGTTACCCATGCTTCAGGGACATAATGAAATAAGAGGGATAGCATCAGCATTAGAGTCCATTAACCCATTCCAAGGTCATTTATGGAAAAAAGCCCCCTGTGCCCATAATACTCTATTCTGGCATTTAGACTTTATTAGTAAGAGCTGGACTCAATCTGAATTTAAAACTAAAACCTATTACCAATGTTGGCAATTAGCCAATAATATTCTGTCACTCTTAATTTGGAATGAATTTGCTATGTGGGATTATCCTCAGGTAAAAAAATCATAGATGCAAATTAATAATATTAGAAGATTCGATTCTTGTATTTTGTTGCTGAAATTTTCCAAGTTCCATTAAAACACTATTTTGCATTTCCCAAGAATTAGCTTGCTGCAGTTGTATGGGAAAGTCCCTCACCTGGTCCGAGGACATGAAGCTCTACGGAGTTCTCGAATCAGCTGCCCAGCATATTCCGGTTCTCTGTGTGCTGCCCGCAGCAATGCTTTCCGGAATGTATGTTGGCATTTCCTTTGTTGAGATTCTGCCCGCTCCAGGCGGCAGAGGTGCTTGTATTTCTGCTGAAAGTAAGTGCAAAGTTGGGAAATGCGGGTTCTCCTGCCACTGGCATAATCATCATCAGGCCTGTAAGATTAGAGAAAGAGGGAAAGCTGATAAAATAGCCTGCGTCCTGCTCCTGTGCCAGCAATTAAGTGTATTAGCTGCAACTGTACAAAAGCCCTCTGGTCATGCCCTATCTGCTTTTTGAGCAGAAGACCCCACATTTGCGAGCCCAGTCTTTCTGCAGTAGTACAGCTCCAACAAAAGTCAAAGATGGAGCAATCCTTTGAATCAATAGCCACATCATCTTGTTTGGGTTGAGTTCTAACTAGTTTTTCTCCATCCAGACCAACAGTCTCTAGACATTAGGCCATGACTTCCACAGCATCTCCCTATGAGCCTGGAGATATTATCTGCATATTGATGAGATAAATAACCTCTCCAAGTGGTTCCATGTAGATATTAAGTAGGATAATGAAAAGGATTGAAAACTGAGGCACTATGTAATGAACTGCATATGGGTCTAACATTCCTCGCTGCAACTACCATTTGAACCTACCTGCTTTGGTAAGAGGCAAATCATTATAATATCATGCCCCCCTCCAACTCCCAATAGATAGTTCAAAGGTCAACATTACTGCAAATTGCTAAAAGATCTAGGAGGACTTTCTCCTTTAAATTTCATCACCGGTCATTCTTAAAAGTCATTTATCTCCCATGCTGAGGTGTAAAATCTGACCTCCATGATTCTAAACAATCTGTATTCCCTATAAAGTGCAATTGCAACTTCACCATCTTCTCAATAATCTTCCTCACAAAGCTACGATTAGATAGGATGGTGGTTATTTAATTTCATTAGATCCAGGCCTGCTCTCTCAAGGAATGAGTGAACCACTGAGCTTCTAAGGAATTAATTTCCCTTTCCCTGAGAAGATCATTGACTATAACCTAGATCCGTGATGGTGAACCTATGGCACGCATGCCACAGGTGGCACACGGAGCCATGTCACCTGGCACGCCAGCTCAGCCTCTCTAGGAGTCTCTGGAGGCTGGGGACAACAAAAAATGTCACTTCCTGTCCAATTGTAAGTTGGGAAACAGGCCGTTTTGGGCCTCCGAGAGGGTGGGGAAGGCTGTTTTTGCCCTCCCCAGATGCATAGAGAGGATCCGGAGCCAGGTGAGAAAGAAAAACGGGCCTACTGGGCCATTGTGTGCCAGGAGCAGGGGGCGGGGAGGGGGGGTCATGCATGCATGCGCAAGGTGGGGTGCATAGAATTATGGGTGTGGGCACGTGCACGTTCGCGAACCTCCCCCACCCCCCCCCTTCCTGGCACACGATGGCAAAAAGGCTAGCCATCACTGACCTAGATCCCTTTCTTAGTCACTTTTATTAGTCATATGGGACAGGGGTCCAACATACAAGTGGCTGAGCTAAGACAGTAGAGGTTCTGTCCACTTTTGAGGGAACTACAGGTACAAAAACCTCCAACATGACATGACATCATCTCTGTATTTGGTTAAAATCTGTCCATCTGGCTTCCAACTTGGAGTAAATACAAGCGATGTTAGCAATGAAATATTCAGCCAAATGATCACCACCAACACTGACTAGATCTTCTGATCCATCCTTTCCCCAAAGGATTAAAGAGACTTTTCCAGGTGCAAGAAGGGTACAGTGGCTTGCATCCTTCTGTTCATTATACTTTGCCACCTTTGCCACTTCTTGCATCTGAACAATTTTCTTGTTTTTATAGCAGTGTGACTCCAGGCATCTCTTTACCTGCTCCATTTTCCACTCAGTGGGACAACTCAATGAACTCAATGAAAGGAGCAGCAAAGGATCAACGGATAGCAAGAGGTCAATCAATGGTAATTCTGTTGAGTCCTTCTATGTTCCAGAAATCAACAAGGTGTTCAACAGACTTACAAGGAAATTATCCAATTATCCAACTATTCCTGTTGGAAATTTGCTGTCTGGAGGGGCTATTTTAATGAGTCCCTCTTCCCAGAAGAAGTTGGTGGTTCTAGTTAACCCCATCTTCATGAGGCAGTAAAGGAGGAAACCCCATTACAGTGCGCAGAAAAATCCTCCAGAACCAGATTATTGTACAATGGATCTGAGGTATATACCAGATCTAAAATGTACCCAGCTGTTTGGGGTCAGGCAGTAAGGATCTAGTCAAATCCATGTTTGTTAAGATAGCCATGAATTCCTGAGGTCCCCCAGGGAAAGGAGACTGAAATCACCCAATACTAATACTCTGGCTGAATCCACACACTCTATAATGAAATCCAGCTACTTGATTAGGCATGCTGTCATGCTGCTAGGAGCATAGTTCCATTGCAGCATTCCCATAATCCCCTAAATCATGAGCAAGACCTCATATACAGCCATTTGGGAACATCATTTGCTAACATTCACAACAGCTAGTATCTCTGAGTAAACAATCGTTGCATTACTTTCCTGTCCCAGGCCTGATGAAAAATGTGAAATTTGGCTGGACCAATCTCATGAAATGGATGTCCAGTCCAGTCCATGCTCTTGTTCACAATTAAATCATATAAATGGCAATGCACTATATTGTTTTTAGAAATTCCTATCTTGTAAGTGAGATAGCAACCAATGAGAGAGTTTGTTATATTCTATTTATGAAATCTGTTCTTCTAAAAGGATCAGTTGGTGCTTTTATTAAAACTCTTTCAGCTTTTACCATCTGAGAAATTTTACCACCTGCGTCTATTGTTATTTTTACTTTGCTGCTTTAAATGTTGGCTGAGATATCAGGACTGCTTTTTTGTAAAAGTAAGAGCTACTTTGCCTGCCAGTGGAAGCAATAATTGATTCTCTTTTCCTCATGCAACCTCCCAGTACCACTTCCTCTGTCAGTCTTCCTCAATCTAGTGCATCTATCTACCAGGAAAAATATTGGTTTGGATGGGCAATATAAGAGCCTCCTTTATAATGTTCCCATATGTGATTTCCCTACTTCAATGTGATCGACAAAGTTACTTTTTCTACAAAAGTCTTCTGTGGATTCAGTGGATTTTATCAGATTAAATATTTCAGAATTTTTTTGACAGCCTTAATCATTAAAGCCCCAGGCTTCAAACCAGGTGACTATGAGTTCTAGTACTACTTTAGGCATGAAAGCCAGCTGAATGACTTTAGACTAGTTACTCACTCTAGCCTACAATGTCATGCTAGGCTGACCAGGCAGCCAACCAATTTCTGTAACAATCAATGGATCAACACTTGGCTGATCATCATCAACAACAAAAATCAGACAATGTATTTGCAGGAAAATGGTAGGGAGAATCAAAATTTTGATATCATCTGGACCATCTGTGATAACTGGAACTTATGGGGATATTCCTACCTATAAAGACAGTTTGTAATAATGGGGGATTAGCAAATGAGCCCTTAGCCACTCCTGTACAGGCATCACAGTACTCAGTTCTCTCTCCCATGTTACTCAAGTTATCCATCATTCAGTAGTATATCTCCACATGACCAGAGAGGAGATATAGTGGAGTCCTTATCTGATGTCTGAAGACTGAAAGGGATTGAGTTAGGTGGGACAAAACAAGCTGACATAGAATCCTGTTGGTGTGGTTATTGTCCCAGCACTGGCTCTAGACAGAAGTGAATGTCACATGAAAGAGCAGATCTTCAAAGAGCTCTTCTTAGAACAATGGAGTTTGATGGCTAGGGGAGACTTTGCTTGACTTTAGTTTATTTTCTGGCCATTATATTTTTTTAAAATAAGTGGCTCTACACTGTACTTGGGGCTGCCTTTTAAAACTACCAAGAATTTTCAATTAGGACAGCCGTCCTCATGACTAAGACTTATGATACCTTTATGACAGACACTACATTGGTTGACAATGTATTTCTGACTATAATTCAAATTGTTGGTTCTATTTATTTGGCTGTCATCTCAGCCAAAGAGATATGTTACAAGTACACTCTGTGAGAAGCTGATGGATGGGAATGGGAATATGGAATACACTTCTGGAAGGGTAGTTCTGGCCTCTGGAGCAACTTCTGCTTATAATCTGAATACCTCTCAAGCCTCACCCATACCCCTTTTAATCTTTTGAAAAGCAGTGAAGACCTGGTTTTCCTAGAGAACATCTGTGGGTGCAATGTATTAGGTGGATACATTACTCTTTATCTCTGGGTAATTATTTTTAATCAAAGAAATTTAATTAATTATTTTAATTATATTTGAAATTTTATATGAGCTATCGCAGAATATGTTGGAAGAGCAAACAGAGGACAAATTGTTGTAAATAAATGTCCCCCCCCAAAAAAAAATCATATATAGTTTTATCTCCCACCCTTTTGATAATCTTCTTTCCAACAGCAAATCCAACACAACAATCTATTAGCAATGGTTTTTACAAATATCTGTCCTTATGTAACAGCTTTACTCATTTGTAACAGCATGCAACTCAGTTATTCAAGTACAAGAAATGTAGAAACAATATTTTTGTGCTTTTGGCTGAACAAAGATAATCTTTTAGTAGCAAAACATTTAATAGCCTCAATAAACAAACTATGAATACAATAGAGGACATTTTTCATTTAAATTTCATTCAATGCCCACTAAAAGGAGAGTTTTATTGTAAATGATACCATCAATTATGTAATTATACAAATTATGTAAATTCAGAATTAAGGGACAATGAGTTTAACATTCAACACCGATCTTTCTGAATGGTCAGTTATATCTGACCATTTACATCTTAAATATATAAGCGTCAAATAGAATCAGAACTGATGTGAGTGCTGTGCTTAGGTCTTTCAAAAATCAGTTTAACCATCTTCTTCATTACTGTCTATGTTTTACATAAGAATGTGCAACTAAAAACCGTATTTTATTTTGTATTATTTTTGCCCTTCTTCGTGTACTCACTCATTCCTTTCATATCTGAGGGCTTCCCGGATAGACCATGCAACTTGGTATGGAGAAGTTTGATCTAATTCTTCCAGTTCTTCTCCACTATCTTCAGACCAGTCCAACCCTGAAAAGGAAGAAAGAAGATGAGCTTCTTCAGCCACATTCAAGTGCCCCTGAATTTCTTTTTCCAGGACAGAAGATATATATTTCTGACTTTATGATGAAATAGTAATGAGTAAATAGTAAACAGTAATGAGTACTTGTATATTCTGAGGAAGCATATGGAGACATTATGGATTATCTTGTTATTTCCCATAAACAAATGAAAAGACCCAATATTCCTCCAATTAGTTTGCTCGCATACAATTACCGATCTGTTTACACCCAACAGAAATGCAGATATACTTCTGTACTTACCTAAATGTGGAAAGAGATCAGCATCCAGCTGATGTTTTTGAGTGCACAGTTTCATCAGTCTCTGTAACCGGCTCCTACAGAATGAGTATGGGGAGAAGGCTGTGGCTTTCATTAGGATCCTGTCAGCCCTGGGTGGGTCTGGGGCATGAACTTTAGTAGGGTGCAAGAGAGGCAGAGGTCTTTTGTTGGCCGACTGCCTGGCTTGTGCTATAGCATGTGTGGTGGGTGCCACTCCCTGCATTGGTAGGCTGGTATTCTGAGGTTGAGGTGACTTGCAGACTAAGTCCTGTGGGAGCACTGCTGGCTTTAACGACGTTGGTATAGGTGAGAGATGGGCATGTTGCTGTGGTTGCAAAGGCTGCTGCTGCAAAGGTGCAGGAACGGGGCTAAAGTGCTCTTGGCGAACTTTCAGAATCTCAGTTTCTTTCTGGCGTTGACGGTTTTGGGCTAATTTGCTCTGCAACTTTTTCTTCACAGCTGTCCCTTTCTTGAGCTCTTCATCTTCCTCATTGAAAGCAAAGGGGTCTTCCAATTCTGCTTCCAAGTAGTGGAGAGGAAGCCGGGCCCCTGGTGGAGAGAGGGACATCCCATCCAGGCCATTGGGCATCTTCAAAGCCAGGGGAGGAACTGTCAGGCTGAAGGCTATTGAATCCATCTGGTGCCGAACTTTTACCTCTTCTGTTGGATCGTTCTTTTTCTTCCTCTCCTTTTTCGGTAAAAAGCCAAGAACTTGTAGGTGACTGTTGCAATACCTTTGAAAATCAAAAGCAAAAATATGTATTTTTCTCACAATATTTATGTCTGAAAAGAATCAGGAAGAAAGAGCTAATCATCAACACTTTGTCAGTCAAGCCAAAACTGAGGGGAAAAAATCTATTTATATTCAGGGGAAGATTCAGTGAAGGACATATAAACTGTCATGCTCAACTCTTCAAAAATGGAAGCAAAACTTGAATTACAGTAAACATTTTATGGGAACAGTTACCATATCCAGAGCTCTGAACATTTGCAGTTACAGCCTGCATATTTAAATGATGCCCATTTGTAAGGGAGGATGGGACTGATTATTTAAGTGTAACAGAAATCTTTCAAGACAATCTTTTTCATATCCTAATAAAAATAGCTGTGTTAGAATTAACACATTGTGGAAACTTAATTCTCTAACACTTCAGGCTTATGCTTGAAATGAAGAAAAGTGTAAAAATTGTCTAATTTAATAGCCTGTCACAGAAAATTGTTTAAGAACAGAAAAATCTATCATTTCAACTTTACCAATTCCAAAAGAAAATTAATACAGTATACTGATGTCTGAAAACTAGGAGCGGGGTCAGCTCAGCCCCTTATTTACAATGAAATTTATCAGGTAATCTTATACTTCTCATTTGTATAAATTAACCATCCTTACAGGATTGTTGTGATGATATAGATATATAAGAACTGAAAGAATTATGTATGATGCCTTAAACTCCTTAGATGGTGAGAGGCCAGAGTACCAGATTCCCATCATTTTCAGTTTTCAGCCATGACTTTAAAATCCTGTCCTCAAGAGGCCTGTTATCAGTATTCTATGAACGAATAAACAGCCACTTGCAGCACTGTCAGTCAGTCAGTCAAGCAGGAAGTATAAAGCCTAACATCATTTTTGTACTCCATTGAAAGTTTCCTTCTACACTATTCTGCAAGTAGAGCTAAATGAATCACAATAACCCAGGTCTCAAGACACTATAACTACAGATAGTGTCACACACACACACACACACACACACATCCTCCCCCTCCCCCAACATGCTGTAATTTTTTGGTTGGACTTTGTCTTGCAAGATTTAACTTTAGAAATAGATTCAATGATTCTTCTACTACATTTTGGCAATTACAATCACAGAATTATAATTTCCCTGCTCTTACTGGTTTTCAGGAACACCATGATGAAAATACAACTTGTCTGGAATATATAGTTTAAGACTTCTTGGAGGAAAAATGTTTTACATTTGAACATACTGTCCCTTGAAACAGCATATTTTCATTAGGATATACTCTTGGATGATCAAATGGCAAAGGTGGCCAGGAACCTCTTTTTCCAGATAAAATAGCTGGAATAAGATTTACTGGAGGCTCATTCATTCATGTTAAAATTATTCCAGTTATATGATTATAATTCATTTTACACATAGTTTAAAAACATCAGCAAGTTCCAAAGCAGCTCATGCGAAATGTAACTGGAATCTTCCCCTGGTAACTTGAACTATATTATTTCCAATAATCATTAATTTGTTTCTATAACTAATCCAACATGCTGGTTTTTGTTTCATTCATTATTTTGTTAAATTTATAGGTTGCCCATCTCAATTATGTGATTCTGGATGGCTACCAAAGTTTTAAAACAAGATAAAAGATTATAACAAACTAATAAATAACATAACGGACAAGATAAAAACCAACCAACACAACAAATAACACAACCATGATATCAGCTCAATGTTTCTAGGCTCTCTAATATCACATACAAAGTGATAACCAATTTGAATAGGATCAGCATGCTGTGTTCCAAGCTATCAGCTTCAGCCACTATCATAACAGCTGATTTTTTTATCAACCGCAATTCCCTAACTGAACTCAAAAATAGGTTCAAACCTTCAGCTGGTATGCTAAAGAATAGATAATAAGTGATTAAAAGAGCATCAAACAAAAATGAAAAAACTATACTGAAATCCCATACAGTAGAGATGTCAACATCAAAGATACCTAAGAAGGTATTCCCTATTTACAAGAACCTCTAATGATAGAAGATGGAGTTAGACCAGCATTCTGGTCTAACTGAAAAGCTGAAAAGCTACAGGAACTGATGTAACACCCACAGAAACAGGGCTAGCCACAGAAGAATCAATAAAGGTTCTAACCAAGCTATCCCGGGAAATCTGGAGAATGACACAGTTGATTACAGATTCGAAGAATCAATCAACTCTCCAATATCAAAAAAGGAAACTTAACAGAAAGTACAAAAACTGTACAATATCTTTAATTTCACATGCTAGCAAAACAATACTCATCCAACACAGATTAAGGCCTACATGGAAGGGAGATGCCAAAATTTCAAGCTGGCCTTAGGAAAGACTGAGGAATATGAGACATTATTGCCAATGCATACAGGAAACTTGAGAAAACCCAAGACATCCGTATGCGCTTCTATGTACTGCATATGTTGAATATATAGTGAGGGAAACTAGATTAGAAGATAAACCTGGACTTTAAAAACTGGATGAAGAAGTATGAATAGCTTGCACTAGCTGATGACACTACTGTTAGCTGAAAGTACAAAGGATATGCAACCTTACAATGAAAATCAAATGAAAAAAATCCATAAAATTAAATATAAACAAGGAAATAAGGGACAATAGGTACAGAAATCATCCTCAGAACTGAAAGCGTAAATACTGAAGTGGTGGATAGATTCTCTTTTTAGGAATAACTACTAATAGTCCAGGAATATATTGCATAATAGCATTTGGTGTTATTGAAGGCCATGAAGGCCTTGGAAAAGACAGTCAGCTGCCAGAATGTGTCTGTATCAACACATGGCCCATGGGCCGCATACAACCTGCTAGGCAGTTTTCTGAAGTTTGGGAGCATTTTTTTAAAAGTCAATCCATTCACCATTTCCAGACATTGCTGCCTGCTACAAAAGAAGTACTGCCAAGTGCCTCCAACATCTCAAGCCTCATCAAGGCCATAAGCTCCACTGCTGTTGCCAGAAAATATTTGTAATGCAAGTATATACAAATATGTATACATCTCAGATTATTTACACAGAATTAAAGAAACATATTATTTTGAATAACGTTAACAGACTGGCTGGGCTGTTTAGAAATACACACACACAATAACAACATCAAAATTAAAGTTTAGTGGCACTGGTGCAAAATTATCTTTGTGGTTCACACTTCTCCCACTTGCAGTAATTGTCACTGTCTGTTAAAACGTCAGCAAAATTTTGTTGTTTGAGGAGAAACAGATCTGAACAAAAACCTATCTTACATATATACTTGGAATAGGACTGATAAACAAGTTAAAGCATTTGATTTTAACTTCTTTGACCCCTCTTTATTTTTATCCTTTTAGAGACACCTTATTAAGGCTTGCAGGCCACAAAAAAAGCAAAATACAAGAATTTAAGAGAAGAGATAAGAAAGGATCAGAGCAGTTGCACTATCCATTTTAAGATCTAACCTATCTGCACTGCACTGAAGAACTAGAATGAGACAATGTTATTCAGTGCTATCCATTTACAGGTGGTCCTTGTTTAGTGACCACAACTGGAATTGGCAAGTTTTTAAAGGGAATCGGGAATTAAGTGAAACTGCAATTGTGCTTATGATCTTACTTCAACTTTCTTTTGCTTTACAGACTAGCAAAGGTTGTATATGCAAGGACTGCTCACAAAGTTACTTTGTCGTCACGTTCATATCAACAGTGAACAATCACTAAGCAAGACAACCATTAGAGGACTGTGTGTATCTTGAAAAGGAGACCATTGTAAGTGGCTCATGTTGTAGCAGGGAACAAATCAAGTTGTCCATCATTAATTTACTGATCAATTAATCTTTTTATTCCACTGTTCATTGCTGTATATGTACATACAGTATGTCAAATACTATTCAGCTAGAATTTAAGGTGCACCTTCCCTTTGAGGGAATTCAAGAAATGTTTATATTTTTGGAAAATATACATTATTTAAAGTCATACTTGAAAGGAGAACTAACAACTAACAGGCCACTAGATAAGCAAATAACTTTTAAAACAGGAAAAATGAATGGTTCAGAAAAAATATAACAGAAGCAATTATGGTCCAAGAGGCCATATAGCACATTGTATTTATATCCATAAAATGACAGTCATAGGAAACTTGCCTATTCAGAAAAAGGCTGCAAAAGTAAAATACTGGGTTACAGCCTCCCACCATTTTAAATTTCCTAACCAGCCTTTATGGCATCTGGAGGTCTTATTGGAAATAAAAAGGTGTTTTACATTGATGCTTTAGGCTGTAGCATGCCTGTTTCTTAATTTTTCTTTCTGCAGTATTTAAGCACAGCAGGTTGTGTACATGGGTACTCAACTTTCATGAAATACACTAGATTTCATGATTATATGCATACATTCAAAAATATTGTTTGCATGTTTACTGACCCACCTTTGAAAATGGGGGGGAGGGGCAATACGAAAAAATTGGGTGGAAGTAAGGATATTGACTTTTGACTAGATGATGAAGACGATTTTAACATATTCTGTGTTAAAAGATAAATGTCATCTCTCAAATATAACCCAATGGCAATATTTACAAAAATACAATATTTGTTAACACATTTTTTTGGACCAGCAGCACTTTCAATTTCTGAGCCATTTTAAATACTAGAAGAACTTGTTAAATTCTTTATAGCTAACTCCATTATTAGTTTTTAATAGTTATTTATTAATATAAATCAATTTGATATGCAGATGTTAAGAAATGAGTGGAATAAAGAATTAAAGGATCCTGTAGTGTCTTAATTTCTATAGCAAGAGTATCAATGGACCTCAAATTATGATTTATACAACAACCAAAAAATTAGAACTGAACAGACTCCATTATATTTGTATAGAAAAGGACTGTCAAAAACAGCATTTTGTTGGAGATATAAGGATAATACTTCTTTAAAACATATGTTTTTACAATGTCCTATACTTACCAAGTTTAGGGAGAAAGTAGTGGAGTATATAAATATGATTGTGCAACAAAAGCTAAAAAAACTCAGGGGATACTATTCTCTTGAACTACATACCTAATACATGGAATTTGACAATCAGGGAAAATAAATGGGTTCTTCATGCCCTTATTAGGGCCCAAAGACTGAAATTACAGCGTTGGAAAGAGAAATTCATGGCCCATTTCTCTTTATAATTGAAGACCTGATTGTATTTACCACCTATTTCTAGACACAGACTATCAACAAGTATAATGAAATATGGGACTGATTTGTACAAAATACAGTAGGTTAAAAAAGTTGTATAAATGTATCAGAATTGTATACCGAAAAATATCTGCATTAGACAAATATATGTAGAATTCTAAAAGTTTATTATAATGACATATTATTTTTGTCATATTTTTTCACTTTTGTTATAGCACTTTTTATATGTTCTTTCTTCCTTCTTATTGACAACCTATCACCATTAGTTTTGTGTTTTTCTCTATTTTTATTAAAAAGCAGAGAAATGCGTATTTTAAAAGGTTGCATGTTTAGCGACAAGACTTTTCTGATGACCCATTGTCTAATCTTGTGATATTCAACTATTTTCCCAACAGATTCCCCTTATTCTACTCCTCCAGCCAAAATGGAAGCTGTTATAATCAGCTCTTCTAGCAAGCTTTGGGTAGGAAGGTGGGGGGGTGGGTTCAGCTGGGGCAATGTTTGGTCTGGCCCTTGGGAGGAAGGACACCTTTGATTTTTTTTCACTATATTTTATAGATTATTGTACATTACCTATAGAGTCTCTTTATGAGATAGGCGGTCATATATGACCTGTAAGTAAATAAATACATTCATCAATTTCACAAGTGGCCTCTCATTAATATCACCCATCATTTACGGACTTATATAGCTTCCGTTATTTACTTTACTTATCTTGTTGATACTCTGTTTTAGTGTTGCTGCTGTCACTTACCTACGGTCCTCAGATTTAGGGATGGGGTTGGTGCAGCGTTGGCTATTGTACTTCGCCACATATTCACATTGCTTGAAAGGGGCGGTCTTATCCTCCAGAACATGCCTGATACAGAAGGCGTAGCCATTTAATCGCCTCTGCTTACACAGTTTGGGGCTGTAGGAGCACAACGGCTTATTGTCAACCTCAGAAAAGTGTATATGTTTGCCTTCATACATCACGTGATTCTTTTTCTTGTGAACATCAGCTGAAAGAAAACACCAACAAAAACATTAAAGGAGAAGCTGCTGACACATGTTGATGTTAATCTATATGAACATCAGGACTTACCTAATTTTAAATCTTCTGTACCATATTAACATTAGCAGAGAGCCCCAGAGATGCCACTATCTTGGAATGATGATGAGTCAAGATGAAATAGATTGTCTAAGAAAAAAAATCACAGGAAAAGTATATCAAAGAATACATTTGAGAGAGCTACACTGCTTATGGCATAAAACCTAATTGTACTCAGATGTAGGTACCTTGATACTTGCCAAAATATTTTGGTCTCTAATTCCCAAGATGCAACTAGCCTGGCCAATAATCAGAGAATAGTTATCTAAATCTTTGCATGCAAAATATATTGCAGATAAAATGAACCTCCCAAGAACAGCTTGTTCCACTGAATTCCTCCATTTAATTATGGGCAAATGTATTTGGGTCCTTAGTTCCATCTGCAACACAACTTTCAGATTCCTTGAACTTCAGCCCTTTAACCACAGATCCGCAACTTAAAGATTGCATCATATGCAAATTAGTGTACAGTATACAGATTTCCAGAAATGTTTCTTTAAATAATTTCATTGGATAATAAATGGAACAAGGGGCAATGGCTCAACTGTTTTATTAAGTACCTCTTCTTAGCTCTAAATGATTTTCATTTCCTCTATTGGGGATCAATATATGTATTTCTGCTTGAAATCAAATATAAAATACCCAACTAAATTTACTAGTGATTTTTGAAACACAGGACAGAGGTTAATCATATATTTTACCTCTAAAAAGTTTGCTTTAAAAAGAAAAGTGTGCAGCTAGTTTTTGAATAATTATCCATGCTCTTGGGCTGCCTAAGTTGTTCCAGGTTTAAAGTGTTTGCTAACAAGCATATTTGCTTAGCATTTTAAACCAGGACCTTCGATTTACAAAACAATAATGTCAATAAACATGTGTTAGTATAGATCAGCTATTTGTTCATCTGAGCAAATAAATAAACCAGACATGGATAGTTTGGTGAGATGTATACTGTACCCACATCCAAGATTATGATTTATTGTGCTTAAAAGAACAGGCATCCACAAGCCAACAAATTCCAGTTTAAACCTAGAATACAACTCTGATTTGAGTACCATAAAGCATGTATTTTGGTTCAAATATCAAATTAAACTATCTATGCATAACTTCTTTTCACAATCATGTAAGCAAGGGGGGGGGGGAAACTAGGAGAAACAAAAGGAAAACATTAGTGTTTAAAAAAAACAGGACCCTTTGCTTAAAACATTTAAACAACATTAGAAGCATTCTACCATTATATTTTGAGGTCCTGACAGCTAGGCAGAAAGTCATTAGCATGGAACAACTGTATATCATATTACATCATGCTGCTCCTTCACTGTTATACTACCAACATTTTGCAGATAGCAATCAAATGTATATCTGCAAAACTAACCATAGGTAATAGAAATATGTACATGATTTGAATGGATTCTAAATTGACAAAGCTAATTCAAACAAATCTGGAAGAATCTTTCTTCAAAGGTTTTCTTCAAAGTGGTACAAGGCTTTATATATCTCTATTACTAAATTCCAAATTGCCAGAAAAGCAAGGAACTCAACTGAACAAATGACAGGTCTAGTTATAATTACAGTGATCAATTTGTCACCAAATCTCTAGTTTCTACTTTTTTAAAGAGTCAGATTCCCAATGAAAGTGTTAGAAACTATCTTGGTAGTGTGGAGATTATTATTCATTCATTTATTTGTTTATTTAATCTTCAATTCAATTCAACTGGTAAAAACGTAATGGTTCAAGTCCTAACCAAGGACCTAAGAGCTGTCAAGATAATGTTTGAGTATATAACAGTGGTGAAATCCAAATTTTCTTACTACTGGTTCTGTGGACATGGCTTGGTGGGTGTGGTGTGGCTTGGTAGGCATGGCAGGGCAAAATCTCCATTCCCACCCCACTCCAAGGGAAGGATACTGCAAAATCCCCATTCCCTCCCCACTCCTGGGACCAGCCAGAGGTGGCATTTGCCGGTTCTACTCAAAATTTCCGCTAACGGTTCTCCAGAACCTGTCAGAACCTGCTGGATTTCACCCCTCGTATATAGGCAGTTCCGAGTAAGGTGGTTTTGTGCAAAGTCACAATACTCAGATCTGATAAGTTCAAAATGTCCATGTATCTAGGCAACCCTTTGGGTATTGCTCCAAGGGCTCCTATTACTATTGGTACAATCATTGAATTCTTCCTTCATAATCGCTCAACTTCAATTTGCAGATTGCTATATTTCGTTGTGTTTTCTAGTTGTTTCTCTTCAATCAGTGCATCACATGGTATTGCAATATCAATGAACCAGACTTTTTTCTTTTCCACAATAGTGATGTCAGGCATGCTGTGGGCCAGATGTCTGTCTTTTTGGATTCAAAAGTCCCACAAGATCTTGACCTGTTCATTTTCAAGAACTTTGTCAATTTGGTGTTCCCAGTCATTTTTGCTGCATTCAAACCCAAACTTCTGGCAAGGCTTTCAATGTATGATTTTGGCAACTCAATCATGACATTGTAGATTATTATTATTATAATCTCTTTTATTCATTAAACATGAAACTCAGTCAACTGAACATTTAAAAATGTATCACATTATTATTATCATTATTAGTCAGTCAGATATTCAGACTGGATTTGGCATTTTTGTCTACCTATCAAGTCCTTACCATAGATAGGGAGGATATGATATGATATATATTATATTTCATATTTATTATATATTTATTATCTCTTTTATTCATTAAACATGAAACTCAGTCAACTGAACATTTAAAAATGTGTCACAAATACAATTGAGTGGTGCTAATGATTGATACGGGTTGCTGCCAGTGTCCTAGGTATCAACCAAGTACCTTCTTAAAATATATGATGTTCCGAGTAGTGCTTTTTTGCAGTTCCGCTGTTGTTATTGCAGGAAGCTGCAATTTCTTGATGTTTTGTAAAATTCTTGGACATGGTACCAAGTGCCCTGATGACAATGGGTATCACTGTTACATCCATAACCGTGTAGTTTCAATGGCCAGGTCACGATATTGCGTGATTTTTTCCAGTTCTTTTTTTTTCGACTCTGGCATCTCCTGGTATAGCAATATCAATAAATTGTATGCTTCGGCCCTCAACAACTGTGATATCTGGCATGTTATGTTCCAAATGACGATCCGTCTGTACTTGAAAGTCCCACAAGATCTTCACTGCCTCATTTTCGATAATTTTTTCCACTTTGTACTCCCATGACTTTTCTGATACAGGTATGTCATATTATTATTATTAGTCAGCCAGATGTTTAGACTGGATTTGGCATTTTTATCTACCTACTGAGTCCTTTCCAAGGGATAGGGATAAGCAGATCTGGATGTTTCATAGTGTTTCTTCTTGTTGTTATCTTAGCTATTTCAGCCCCTTGTTCCAAGTTTACACTAAATCTTTCTTGTCTATATTCTTCATTCATAGTGGAATAATTTTTACTAAGGTTTTCTTTAGCTAATTCTCCAATCTTATTTTTAAATTAAATAAATCCCCAACCTTTCAATTTTTTTTATTTTTTCCAATCCTATTTCCATTCTAATTTGGTCTGTTAAACATGCACATTTATTTATCTTTATAGTTCCTCTAGTAGTTCATGTTATATCCTATATGGAACCTGAAGACTGAGTCAGAGTTGATGCTGTAACCACTTACGCCCAGTTAAGTCCTGCATCCATATTATATGCCCAGGAGGAACTATTACACTTGCATAGCTCTGAGGGTTGTTTTGCAGAAGAGGGAACAATTGGGCTAGTACGGCTGCTTGGTGATACTGGCCTTAGTGATGCAAGAAAGAAAGGAGAGAAACAACACTGCTCTTCTGATATGATGAAGTCATGGATACAGAAGAGGGATTTATTTCACATTGCTGCAATTCCCTGGGGAAATTAGCAACAATCTTTTTATAGTGAGCATTGTGAAGGTAGGAATAAAGGCATCAGTGTAATTTAGCACTTTCTTATTGGTGGAGTTTTGAAAACTATTAGGGATTGTAGAAAAGAGGCAGAGTGTTGAATGAAATATTTTTATGGGGACAGCAGATCCCAGCCCAAGTTGCCTCTTGAGACTGCAAAACAAACAAACAAACAAACAAAAATCTTCAACGGGGAAAACCAAGAATGTTGCACAAATAGAAAGGTACCTCCAGTTTGTTCTAATATGGACAGAGAAAGCAAAACTGGTATGAGCACAAAATATGAGAAATTTCCCAAGCCTCTTATGCATAAGCAGTAGAAGCTTGGGCAGACCCTTATGGAGGACATGAGTTGTAAGAGTAGGAGTGTAAGCATGGGGCTCCAAGACAATGCTTTCCAATATCACCCTTTATTAATCATTTAATAATGAGACTTCAGGTGAGAAAAACCAGTCCTTTACTCAGATGGAGCTCTCAGAAGGTTGTCCTGTACTGCCATTTTATAACACCTTCAGCAGGTCTGCCTGCAAAGAGAGTTTTCAGAAGAGTTGGTAAACAAAGAGGCAATATATTCTCTCAATATACTGCACTGCCAAGATGCCATTTGGACTCTGCTAATGGATTAACTGGTGCAGTGCATCCCCAAGAGCATGGAGACAGCCCATAACAAAGGACATCAGGGCTGAGCAAGAATTGCTGGACACATCTACTTTGATCCCAACAGTCAAAGGACATTTTTAAAATTGTTAGAGCTTCTTTTTTCTAATTTTTTCTAAAGGAAAAAAAAAAGATTTGGGAAACTAAAGCAGTTGTACACCAAGGAATGTAGCATCTCTTCATTTTTGCCTATTTAGGAGAAGCAGGTAACTAGTAAATTAATATTGAACAGAAAGAACACCACAAATATTGCACTAATTTAAAAAAAACTTAATCTGAGATTTTTGGAACACACACACACACACACAGAGAGGGGGGGGGGATAAACTAAAAAAGAAATGATGAGAATCAAATCTTTTCTATTTAATCTCATTTTCTGATTCCAAAGTATAATTAGAAATTTTTTGCTTCAAGGAGCTCAGTTTCTTGCCTTTTTATATACTGTACATTTCCCTGAGTGTCGATTCTGTCCATTTTTATTACTTTGACTATTTTTAATTTTCAGTTTCTTCTACATAGTCAA